CATTGAGTCTTATTGGCTCTGATTGAATCATAGTTCCATCCTTAAGCCAGTTTTTGTGACCAGGGTTCAGCTATGTATTCTTTCCTGAATCAAGCCAAGATGGTGGTAACTGCTTAGAGGACAGGGATTGAGAGGGGCTGAGGACAGACATAGCACCATTACCAATAGGGACAGGTGGAGATGGATGGTGGCCTGCCAAAAAACAGTGACTTCCCCATGCCTGTTGGATATAGTGTTGTGAAGAGAAAAAGAAATTAAGGAATAATATTCTATTGCTACTTTCCATTTTTATACTTATAACTGTATTAGTAGACAGTTAAAGAGTATCATGGTATGGATTAGCCACACTTTGTATAACAATTCCTCTATTGATAGACTTCTAATTATTTCCAGTTTTTTATAGTTATAAAATTTTTGCTAATTTGATGAGTGAAAAAGATAATGTTTTAATTTTTTATTTCCCTGATAACTAATGAAACTGATAATTGAATTTTGTTATAATTTGATCTTTTTTCTTCTGGAAATTATTAGCTTTTATCCTTTGACCAGTTGGGTTGTCATTTCCTTTTCATTCTCAAGAATTACTTAAAAATTTTGGATAATAAATACTTAAGACATTCCAAGTTCTGATTACTAATGGATGTTTGCAGCTGTTTCTTCTCATTTTGAGTCATGCCACATAAGCAAAAGCTGCTGATGATGAAAGCTTTACTCCATCCATATCATTAATGTTGATTCCACTTTGAGGAGGCAGCTCTTTCCCAGTTGTATCTTGAGTGATCTGTCGTCCAACACCGTATCAGACAGTGTTCCACTGCTCATCATAAGGTTTTCACTGGCTTTTTTTCTTTTTCCTGTAAATATATTGCCAGATCCCTCTTCCTAGTTTGTCTTGGTCTGGAAGCTCTGCTGAAACCTATTCTGTGTGGGTGACTCTGTTGGTAGTTGAAATACTGGTGGCATAGCTTCCAACATCACATCAACACACAAGCTACTATAGTAATGAAAAAGTGGCAGACAAGTTGTGGTAGATGGAGTATACAAGAATAAAATCAACTAAATATGTGGAAAGAAGTGATGGAGAAATTCAGTATCAGACAGACAAGGCCAGAGCCCACTGTGAAACAGACCGTTAATTGGTCATATGCAAGTTCAAGTTGAAGCAGAAGAAAATTAAAACAAGTTCATGAAAGCCCAAATACAACTTTGTGAGCGTATCCCACCTGAATTTAGAAACCATCTTAAGAGTAAATTTGATGCATTAAACACTATTGACTGAAGACAAGAATTGTCGTGGGATGCTATCAAGGACATCATACAAGAAGAAAGCAAAAGGTCATTAAAAAACAAGAAAGAAAAGACCAAAATAATTGTCAGAAGAGACTCTGAAACTTGTTCTTGAACATAGAATAGCTGCAGCGAACAGAAGAAATCATGAAATAAAAGAGCTAAACAGAAGATTTCAAAGGGTGGCTTGAGAAGACAAAGTATAATGATTAAATGTGCAAAAACCTGGAATTAGAAAAGCAAAAGAGAAGAATACACTCAGCATTTCTCAAGCTGAAAGAACTGAGGAATAAATTAAGGCCTTGAGTTACAATACTGAAGGATTCTGTGGACAAAAAATAAAAAGACACAGGAAGCATCAAAAGAAGATGGAAGGACTCACAAATATATCTAGGTTTTGCAGAAGATTTTTTTTTATAGTATGTATATATGCTGCAAATACATCCATGAATAGAGAGCATACAGGGGGCAAAGTTAGGACTTCTTAGTCATAACCAAATAGCTTGAAAGAGTGTAGAGGCTCAGGACTGTAGTCTCAGGGACACTAAGGTCAATTATTATAATAGTCCAAAAAAGACACTGTTCTCCATCCTACTTTGGTGAGTAGCAACTGGGGTCTTAAAAGCTTGTGAGTGGCCACTTAAGGTACAGCTATTGGTCTCTACCCATCTGGAGCAAAGAAGAGTGAGGAAAATCAAGATACAGGGAAATAATTAGTCCAGAGGAGTAATAAATAGGCCACGTGAGCCCCAGCCGCCATGACCCTGAGACCCAAAGAACTAGATGGTGCCCAGCTACCACTGTTGACTGCTTTGAAAGGAATCATAATAGGAGGGCCTGGATAGAGTGGGAGAAAAATATGGAACAAAACTCAAAGTTATTTTAAAAAAAACAAAAAAGAGAGACCAGGCAAAGACTATGGCCTTTAGACACTTTTCAAGCTGGGAACTGAACTCACCCTGGTGGCTCAACTTTCAGCCAAACGATAGGCCTATAAGGTGAACACTAATACTGGGAAGGTATGCACTCATTAGAACAATCAACCATATGAGATCAAAGGGGCAGCATTTGTCTGGGGATAAAGCTAAGAAGGCAGGAAGAGACAGGAAAGAGAAAGATGAAGGGAAATGGTAAACAGGGAGGAAGTGGAAGGAATGCTATTACATTGTAGGGATTGCAGTGAATGTCACAAAACAAGGGAATATGTATATGTGTTGAATAAAAAAACAATTTGTTGTGTAAACTTTCACCTAAATCATGATTGAAAGAAGATAGAAGGAGTACATAGACTGTGCCAAAAAGAATCGGTCAGTGTTCAACCATTTCAGGAGGTAGCATATGCTCATGAACTGATGGTACTGAAGGAAGACATTCAAGCTGCACTGGAGGCATTGGTGACAGAAAAATCTCCAGGAATTGACAGAATACCGTTTGAGATGCTTTAACAGATGGATGACATTCTGGAAGCACTCACTCATCTATGCCAAGAAATTGGAACACAAGAACGTGGCCAACCAGCTATAAGAGATCTAAACATGCCCATGCCAAAGAAAGATGATCAACAATGCAAAAATCATCAAACAATGTCATTGGTATCGCATGCAAGTAAAATTTTGCCAAAGATAGTTAAAACATTTTTGCAGTATTACGTTGACAGGAAATTGTCACAAATACAAGCTATATTCAGAAGACATGGAACAAGGTGTTATCATTGCTGATATCAGACTGAAAGCAGAGAATACCAGAAAGATGTTAGCCTGTGTTTTGTTGACTACACAAAGGCATTCAACTGTGTGGATCATGGCAAATTATGGATAACATTGCAAAGAATGGGAATTCCAGAACACTTAATTGTGCTCATGCAGAACTTGTACATAGACCAAGAAATAGTCATTTGAACAGAACGTCATTTAAAATCAGTAAAGTTGTACGTCAGGGTTGTAGCTTTTCATCATAGTTACTCAATGTGTATGCTGAGCAAATAACACAAGAAGCTGAACTATATGAAGAAAAACAAGGCATCGGGTTTAGAGAAAGACTCATTAACAACCCGTGATACACAGATGATACAACTTGCTTGCTGAAAGCACAGAAGACTTGAAGCACTTACTGATGAATATCAAAGACCACAACTTCAATATGGATTACACCTCAACATAAAGAAAACAAAAATCCTCACAATGGACCAATAAGCAGCACCATGATGAACAGAAAAGATTGACGTTGTCAAGGATTTTATTTTACTTGGATCCACTGTCAGTGCCCGTGTATACAGCAGACAAGAAATCAAATGATGTATTACATTGAACAAAGCTGCTGCAAAAAATCTCTTCAAAGTGTTAAAAAGCAAAGGTGTCACTTTGAAGACCAAGTATGCCTGACCCAAGCCATGGTATTTTCAGTTGCCTCGTATACATGTGAAAGATGGCCAGTGAATAAGGAAGACCAAAGAAGAATTGATGCATTTGAGGTGTAGTGCTGGCAAAGAATGTTGAATATACTTTGGACTTTCAGAAGAATGGACAAATCTGTCTTAGAAGAAGTATAGCTGGAATGTGCCTTAGAAGCAAGGATGGTGAGATTTTGTCTCACGTACTTTGGACATATCAGGAGGGGCCAGTCCTTGGAGGAGGACATATAATGCTTGGTAAAATAGAGGGTCAGTGAAAAACAAAGATCTTCAATGAGATAGATTGACACAATGACTAACAAGGGGCTGAAACATATCAAGGATTATGAGGATAGCACAGGACCAGGCAGTGTTTCGTACTGTTGTACATAGGGTTGCTGTGGTCAGAACTGACTTGATGGGACCTAACAAAACAATCCTTCAAGACTTTCTCATTTATCTTTTTTGCTTATAGTTTTTTTTGTGTGTGTGTCTTATGTTTTCCCATTATTTTTTTTTCCCCATTACACATTGTAATGTTTCTTATGTCATTAAAACACTGTGTGAAGCAGCATTATAGGGGTTGCAGGATAACACATTCCATGCCCATCCAGCAATTTACAATCCTAAATTATTCTACGTTTTTCACTATTATAAGTAATGCTGTGATATACTTCTTTGTCTGCAAAGCTTTTGCTAGGTATTTTGTATTTTAATTTAAGATAGATTCCTTTTACATGAACTAATTGTGTCATAGGTTTAAGCACTGATTTACGAAAGGGTTGATTTACAGAAGGATGTATACCACTATATAATCTCATTACCATAGAGAAATGCCTGTTTCACTAATCTTTGAGGACATAAGTACTATGTGGGTGCATAACTCTGTTCTAGATGAAGGCTTTAGTATGATTGTGATTTAGGAAACTCAGCTAACTAGTGCTTTTTTTTTTAAGCTCTTCCTCCTCCAAGAAAGACACGAGCTGAACTCATGAAGGCGATTGATTTTGAGTATTATGGTTACTTAGATGAAGATGATGGTGTTATTGTGCCTTTGGAACAGGAATACGAAAAGAAACGTAGGTCTATGGGCATTACATGTTATTGTAGATGACATCTGGTTTCTGCTATCATCTTTGAAAATGGTGCTCTATGTCAGAAGGGAGTTTTCTTTGTTGTTAATCAACTTCGGAGTATATGGATTACTATCTTCCTCCTAATAACGATGAGAAGAGCCTTGGTGGTTTTCATTGGTTAAGCGCTCAGCTACTATCCAAAATGTCAATGGTTTGAATCCACCAGCCACTCTGCAGGAGAAAAGATCTGGCAATCTGCTCCCATAAAGATTACAGCATGGGAATATCATGAGGCAGTTCTCTGTCCTCTAGGATCTCTGAGTCAGAATCGACTTGACACACAACCACCACCACCACCATGAGGCTGTGTTGAGCCAGAAGTAGGTTGGGAACGTACACAGAGCTGCCTGTGGCCTGGGCTCTATCCATCAGGAGTTCACCGTTTAGATTCTTTCCAGAAATTGTGAAATGGTATCCAATCAAGTAGCTTTTAGATCTGCTTTAAACATAGCCACTGAGCAACAGTGGATATCACTTTCTGAGCACTTCTTCTATGTTAGGCATTCTGCTAAGCATTTATAAATACTCTTTTGAGACCTCACAACAACTCTGTGAGGAATAATCTATTGTTAATCCCCATCTTACACATTGATCTAGAGTTGGCTGGAGCTCTTTCCCAGCATGCTCTACCAGTCCTGTTTTCTAGTGGACACATGGAAGCCACTCATATTATTCATCTGGAGAGAATCTGGGGACCTTTCCTCAAAAGCTACCTCGTAGAAATTTAAAGTCAGGGCTCTTTTAAGACCAGACTGCCCCTCACATCCATTCCCCACCTACCAGGGCAGAATGAAGAGTGTTTCTTTCCAATGATGACATCTTGGCTTTTCTCCATAGTGTTTGAAGCTTTTTTTAGAGACTGAAATAAGTAGCACCTGCTCCCCCTTATCTTCAGTCAGAGCCAAATTAGTGGAAAAGTGGAAAACAGAGAAAGAGGCCCAGTTGGCAAGAGGAGAAAAGGAGGAGGAAGAGGAGGAGGAAGAAGAGATCAACATCTATGCTGTCAACGAGGAGGAGGTATGGGATCACTTTGCTTCGGGAAGGCGGGGGAAGTGGCAGGAAGGGAGCTCAGCCATCTCTCTCTAGTCTGGTCCTCAGCTTCTTTGCCTAGAAGATGGGTGTGAAAACCACTTCACAGGATTGTAGGGAGGGTTTCAGAAAGGAATGGATGTGAGAGAACTTTATAAACTGTGCTATACACCAGGGATTATTTATTTAGTTAGTTAGTTATTAGAGGTAGACCATCCTGAGATATACTGGAATTGGATTTATAAACACATGACCTCATCATTTATTTTTAAAGGACAGTGCCCATAGAAGCTTTGGTGGCACAGTGCCTAAGGCATTTAACTGCTGACCAGAAGGCTGGCGGTTCAAACCCACCAGCCACTCCTCAGAAGGCAGATTGGGCGATCTAGTTCCGTAGTGATACCTCGGAAACCCAAGGAGGGGTCGTGTGAGTCAGATCTGACTCCGTGGCAGTGAGTTTGAGTTTGTTTGTTTATAGTTCTTCTGTTATCTAACATCCCCATCCTACAGATGGGAAGTAAACTCCAAGCAGAGAAGGGACTTTTTATAAGTTCATGGTCAGGAATGGATCTATGATCCCTGTCTCTCAGGTGGTACCTCCCAGCTCCCATCTGCATTTCCTGTTGTGTGTAGGCATCCCTTCTGGATAGGCCCAGACCTAAACCAACTTGCTGGTCTGAGAAAGATGAGGACAATCACCCATGTACATGTTGCTTGAGGAGTTTGCTGAGGAATCACTGACAAGCAAGCAGGCTCAGAGAGATATAGTGACTTCATCAAGGTCACCCAGGATGTAGAGAACCTAGGCCCAAGCTCAGCTCTGACTAACTAATGGGGGATTAGTGGAGAGTTGAAGTAGGATGGCAACATGCTTTAGGAAGATTTTCTCTAGGTGTGGACACTCATTTATTTGCTCGTTCATTTAGCAAATGTTTGTTTAACGAAGGTACTGTGAGACAGGCCATGCTAAGTACAGAGGGCCCAGCAGTGAACATGTTCCGTGTGAGCACAGAGTCTGGGTGGGAGATATCCAGTCGGCGCAGAGACAAATGGACAATGGCAGTGCACCTGGAACTGAGAGAGTAGCATGGAGCTGAGGGAGCCTTGAAGGCTTTTCTGGATGTCTCAGGCTAGGTTCTTTAGAGAAGCAAAGCCAGTGAAGCATATACTTCGTGTGTATACATATATGTGTTTTGGTCCTCTAGTGCTGCTCTAACAGAAAATACCACAAATAACAAACAATAACACACTGCTGTTGAGTCAGATCCAACTCAAAGCAACCCCTCCTTGGGTTTCCGAGGCAGTATCACTACAGAAGTAGATTGCCCAACCTTCCTTCCAAGGAGTGGCTGGTGGGTTCGAACTGCCAGCCTTCTGGTGAGTAGTCAAATGCCTTAGGCACTGTGCCACCAGAGCTCGCAATAACACAAATGAGATGGCTTTAACAAACAGGAATTTATTCTCTTACAGTTTTAGAAGCTAAAAGTCTGAGTTCAAAGTGCCACGCTCTGGGGGCTGGGTGAAAGCCCCTCGATCTTGGGTTTCAGCTCTGCCTCTTGCTCCTGGACCAGTGAAGCTGGAGGCTTTCTTCATTCAGGCCAAGGTCAACAAGTAAAAAGGCACAGTCCCGATACTACCAAATCACACGGCAGGCCATTGATTCAAGTCCATTGAAAGTCCCAAGATTGCCAGATAGCCTGGCATGCTACTGAATAACAACTTGGTTACATGGAGGATTCAAGCATGCCAAAAGCTACAGACCATTCCTAAAGCTTCTCCTTATATACTGGGAGCAGACCACATCCCTAAGGCAGCTACTCAGCTGCTCCAGTAGATTCCACTATGGAGGTGATTACCAATCTCACCATAGGGAATAACAACATCCAGCTTCCCAGCCACTCATAACCAGGCCCAGCCAAGTTGAGACGTAATCTTAACTACCACAATGTGTATAAGCATATTTATGTATATGTGTAATATTGTATGTGTGTGTATATGTATATATATATAGAGAGAGAGAGAGAGAGAGAGAGAAATGGCTTATGTGATTGTAGAGGTTGGCCAGTCCCAAATCCATGGGTCAGGTATTAGTCTGGAGGCTTCTCCTGACTTAGATGGTTGCAGGCTCTGATGAACCCATTATTGGCAGGGTAGGTGGCAGGCTGCTGGCCCCAAGACTGTAGAAGCTGGTGAATCTCAGAATTGGCAGGTCAGATGATAGACAGCTAGCTCAGGTCTCAAGAACTGTACGTTAGATAATGATAAACTACATGCAGGATCCAGAGCAAGGGAGAACCTTGCCAGAGCATATACATACATGATGAAGGTCACACCTCCAAGGAAACTCCCCTTACATCAGAGTAAGGGTGGAACTTTGAGTCACACTCTCTTGTAAGCCTGTGGCTAAAAGATACACTCCACAACTAACCTGCCTCGTTAACACAGAGGTTAGGATTTATAACATAAAATGGAAGGTAATCACACAGTATTACAAAACGGAGGATGCAGGGCCTTGGACTATAGTGAAGAGGGTATTTTTCTTCATCGTATAAGCAGTGGAAGACCACCAAAGGATTTTTTTTTTTATTGTTTTACAAGAAGTTGCAAAGATAGTAAGTAGAGGTCCTAGGTACCCTTCATCTAGTTGCTCCAGCGGTTACGTATTACAGTATCCCAACCAGGAAATTGACACTGGTACAATGTGGTATGTGTAGTTCTATGTCATTTTATCACACATAGGTTCCTGTATCCATTGTCAAGATACAGAACTGTTCCATTACCATAAAAATCTCCCTCTGCACTTCCTGGCAACTGCTGATCTGTTCTCCATCCCTGCCTTGTCATTTTGAGGATGTTACATACATGGACTCATGCAGTATGTCTGTTACCTTTTGAAATTGGCCTCTGCATTCAGTACCATCTCCTGGGGATCCATCCAGCTTGTTGTGTGTCACTTGGTCATCCCTTCTTATTGCCAAATAGTAGTAGTCCCTGTACAGAAAAGTCTCTTGCCTTAATTGGGCAGGTCAGCGAACCTCCACAAGGTAAGCATATTCACATAGCAGGTGCAAGGTGAAGAAATAACAGGACCAGCCCCTAAGTGCTCCCCCATGCCCCTTCCTCATAGACCCTTCTGCCCCAACAGTATCATTCTCCTGACTTCTCATAACTGGTTAGTCTTACCCTGTTACATTTTTTGTTGTTTTAAAATAATATTTTACTGTGTTTTTGGTGGAAGTTTATATAGCAAATTAGGTTCCCATCTGACAGTTTTCTATTCAGATTGTTCAGTGATGCTAGTTACATTTTTCACAGTGTGTCAGTATTCTCTTCAATTGCATTCTAGTTATGTTTCCAGTGCTCTGTTTCCCCTGCCTCCTTATATTCTCATCTTTACTTTAGAGTAATTGTTGATCTTTGGTCTCCTGTACCTTATTGTTACCCAAATAGCACACACAATGTTTGGTTGCCAACCACTCCCTACCCCAGGGAGGTATTTTCTTAAGTGCTGTGTGCCAATTTTTTAAACATTGCTGTGAAAAAAAAAATTAGCATAGTGTGTTTACAGAAATAACCTCTTGGGGAGTGGAGAGGGAGCAATGGGCAAACAAATGTAGAAGGCGTGTGTTATTTGCATAAAAGTATGAGATAGTTTTTTAATAGAGCACCATACTCAGGGTAATGTCCTTTGTTTTGTGTGCCAATCTTACTTCTCTAAAAGGTCACCTCAGCATAGTTTCACTTCAAGGTTAGAGAGTCTCTTAGGGTAATAGTTTCAGGGAGTCCACTAGTCTTCAACTGGTCCAATAAGTCTGGACTTTTTTTAAGAGTTTGAGTTCCAGTGTGAGTGATCAATATAGTGGCATTGAGAAAGAGAAAGACATAGACTGGTACATGGGAGGTACAGACAACAAAGATGAACCTTTTTGCACATATAGTATGGCATTGTTAGTGAAGGCAAACATGGGTATATGGGGGGATAGATGGGTGGACAGGCTGAACTATTAGGTATGTGTACCAAGAACGTGTATAGGGTTGGCAGACAATGGTCCTATAAGTTTATGTGTATGATCTGAATTCCCAGGTGTATAGTAGAGCTGACAAGGGACAAGGTTGTAGTCACTGCTTGGTCACAGCTAGCTACCAAGAGGGACCGAGTAGTTGAACCTGTGGGCTGAGGACCGTAGTCACAGGGGACATCAACTCAATTGGCATAATATACTATACAAAACATTGTTCCACCTCCTACTTTGGCAAGTAGCGACTGGGATCTTAAAAGCTTGCAAGCTGCTATCTAGATACAATGATGGGTCTCTCCTCATCCAGAACAAAGAAGAATGAAGAAAACCAAAAATTCATGGAAACAATTAGTCCTAGCGACTGGTATACCATCCAATCTGCAGCCTATATGACTATGAGACCAGCAGAACTAGATGGTGCCTGGCTACTACTGTCAGCCACTTGGAGGGGGATCTATGTAGGAGATCCTGGATAGAGAGGGAGAACAATGTGGAACAAAACTCAAAATCATTTGGAGAAAAAAAAAAGGGGGGGAGCCAGGTTTACTGGTCCAATAGAGTCTGGTGGAACCACTAAGACTGTGGCCCCTAGCTGCCCTTCCGGTCTGGAATTGAACCCACGCCTGTGGCTTCTAGCCAACAATAGACAGACATATAAGTTGAACATTTCCCTGAGATAGATACACTCCGTGGAGAGAACAATCATGGGAGAAAGAAGGGCTGCTTATATACAGGGAGATAACTCAGGGGGCAGGAGTGCATGGAGGGATGGACACAGGGAAGAGGGAGGTAACTATCGGGAAGAAGTGGGAGGGGAGATAAATTTGTGGTAAATTGTGCTCAATGTCTTGAGACAAAGTGTATGGGAACTGCTGTATGGAAGGTAAATTTGCTCTGTAAGTTTTTACCCAAATCACAATAAAAAATTTAAAAAAGAAAGAGTTTTGAGTTCCGGTGCACATTTTTCTCTTTCTGTCAGGGTAGGGTAGAAATTCTGCAAGTAGGTAGCAGCAAGAGGTAGGATGTGACTGTGACCTGCTCTTTGAGGTTGAGCTTCTCACATGCCAGGGAAGGCTGTCCTCAAAGCAGAACGGTGGGTTGTGGTAGCCGAGCACCATCCAGTTCTTCTGGTCACACCATAGATTAGGCCATGGCTCATGTAGGGTGTTAGCCCTATAGACTAGTTTAGTTTCTTCTTGGAGACTGTGGTTTCTTTCTTTCTCTTTTGCTCCTTAAGATTATAGACCGATAGTTATACCTTAGATGGCTGTTCTGAAGCTTTGAAGATCCCAGATGCTACTCACATTAGGATGCAGAATATGAGCTTTATGAACTCTGTATTATGCCAATTAACTGAGTTGTCCCTTAAGACTAGGTCTTAACCTGTTTATGAACTTTATATATAAATGGGATCATGCATACTTTTGTGTCTAATGTCCATGGGTAGTGTTCAGGCTGAGGCTACTACAAATAGGGATGCTATTAACTGCCTGTGATTGGTTTCAGTGGGCACATGCCATCAAGTCTGTTGAGTATATAATGAGTTGTGGAATTAACACATTATTAGGATAATGTGTTTACAAAAATACCTCTTATTGGACGGGGAGGAAACAGTTAACAAATGTAGAAGGTACACATTATTTGCATAAAAATATGGATGGTTTTCAGTAGAGGCATGTATTTAGCTTTAGTAGATACAGCTAAATGGTTTTCCAAAATGTTCGTAACCAATTTGCATTTCATTCCTACCGGCAGCATATCAGAGGTGTCCACCAGAGTTTTAAAAGCCAGCTTCATCAGGGAGCCCATGTGGAGAAGGGTTGTGCCAAGCCTCTGGCAGAGGGGCACCCAGAGGCTTTAGTGCCTCACAGCTATCCTCCTTTTTAATATTCGGAAGGCTACATTATTTCCTTTGTTTATTAGTGCTCTGTATTGTCTGATACGCAGCCTGGGTTGATTTTTTTTTCTATATGTGATATATTTTTTTTTAGTTCTAAAAGATAGATAATTCACAAGGTTCAAAACTAAGAAGTGTATATATATATTCAACAGTCTCATTCCCACCCGTCCCCATCCACCGTGTTCTTACTGCTGTTAGTAGTTCCTATTCTTACTTTGTCTCCTTACACAAACAGTAGCATAGTATGCAGTGTTCTGTTGCATTTTTTTTTTTACTTATAAATGGGTGTCTTGGCTAGCTGTCTATACTAGTACATAGCTTCCTGATTCTTTCATTTTATTTTAAAACAACTGTAGAGTAATGCATTTCATAGAGGTTCCAACTTTGATTTAATTGGTCTCCTATTGACAGACTCTATTGGTTGTTCTCTGTTTGCAGTCTGATGAGGAAGGCAGCCAGGAGAAAGGAGGTGAAGATGGACAGCAGAAGTTCATCGCTCACGTCCCAGTACCGTCGCAGCAAGAGGTGACTGTGATCTGTTCTTTGAGGTTGAGCTTCTCACATGCCAGGGAGGGCTGTTCTCAAGCCAGACTTCACAAAATACTTGAGTGGATTTTCATCTGCTCATTTGTTAGGTGTCTCTGAATGCTAACCACAGGACATGTGTCATTGTGGTCTCAGAGCAACCTCTGCTTTAGATGAAACTGGCCAAGTATTCCACGTTTGAAGTAGGAGAAAGCTTGGAGAGGGACTCCTTGGAGATCATCTGGCTTTTGAGTTAGACCTCTAGATGGACTTCTCTTATGGGCTCCCTTCTGGTGGGTTCTGTAGTGGTGGGGCCTTTGTTGATGAGTGAAATGTCAGCCCTTTTCTCTTGACATCCACAGATTGAGGAGGCGCTTGTACGAAGGAAAAAGATGGAACTCCTTCAGAAGTATGCAAGTGAGACCTTGCAGGCCCAGAGTGAAGAAGCCAAACGGCTCCTGGGATATTAGGGCCCATCAGGGTGGTTGTTGGGGTTCAAGCGATCTTGCTGGAGTTCTTCTATCCCCTGCTGGCTCGATGTGCTTCCCTGCAGCCCAGCACCTGCTCTGCCATTTCGGGACTGCAGACAGGCAGGCAGGAAGTGAGCTTCTTTATCCTTCCCTCTTCTCTTACCTTTTCCTTGCCTCCTGTGCTGACCCAAGGATGGGGGCTCTGCCTTTTGCCTCCTGCCTGTCAGATGTCTACATGCTGAACATTTCAGCCACCACCTTTGTACAAATATTTTGAATACTTATACTTTTATTTTGGAGTGTGTAAAACTGGTTGCTAACTGGCTGCCTGTGTTTTATTTAGCCTTGTACTGTGATTAGAGGAGGTAGAAGTAAATTCATGGCCAACATTGTAAAAAAAAAATGCAATTTTCCTTAAAAAGACAACTTCTCTTGAAATAGAGAAGCTGTTCCACGCCTGTGCCCACAGTCCCACTTGTTAGCAGTCAGCCAGAGCTGCCCCCTGGGACCTGTTGTGCTCTCGGCCTTTCAGGCTCCTCTGCCTTGGGCTTGCTCGTTCCTGCCTGAGGGGAAAAGTTTGACTCTGGTACTTCTGTTTTATAACTTGTACAAGAGCTATTTTCATTAAAGATTTTTGTATGATAGGAAACCTCCCTGTCTGCAGCTTGGTTCCTGGGCTAACCACTGAAGCAGTGGTTGCATTAAAACAGGTTCAGAGTTCTCAAAATAGCTGGCTGTCCTGTTGTCTGAAGAGCTTCCAGAAGACATAACCCCAGGGTGTGAAGAGGGTATAGGGGTCAAACCTTAGACTCCGCCTTGGAGCTGAGATGGGGACCATCCCCATCCTCCCCATGTCCTCTGTGGCCGCAGCTAAGAACAGGTTAGTGACCATACCTCACAGATCAGGAACTTGTACATGGATGTGTAGAGCCTCACGTCAGAGGACCAGGAACACAGAAGAGCCAAACTTTGCAGCTGAACTGGGTTTTCCTAAGGGAGACCCTAGAGCAGAGGCTGCAGCATGGGCCTGTGCTGGACTTCGCACCCACACTCTGGGAAGGTGGGTGGTAGGAGCTCAGGGTGAGACCAGTGGTTGTCCTTTGGGCTTGGGCTCTACTCAGGCTGTGTGAATGGGGCTCTTGGTGTGGAGATGTCATTATGCAACTACGGGCCAGGTTCTTCATTAGTGCAGTGTGGTCAGAGAATGGCTGTGTCAAGATCTCTTCAAGGAAACCGAGAGCAGCAGGAAGCTCTGGAGAGGTTCTAACCTAGTGGATGTGTGGTTTGCTCTGAAAACCAGAAAGCTGGACTAGGCCAGGAGGCAGCAAGGCCCAGGAGAGAGGTGGAGATTTGGGGGCAGGGTGCTAGGGAAGGGCAGTGGAGTGGTAAGGAAGGGGGATTTCAGAGCTGAGGGAACCTCAGAGTCCTGTGAGGGTAGGGGTTCTAGAGAGGGAACAGTCAGGGAGGGTCCCCCAGTGAGCACCTGGGAGTGAATGGAGAAAGGAGTAGTCAAGGCTAGAAGCATGGCAGGTTACCTCTGGGACCTGAGACCCTGCCTGGAGCCTGGCTTCATGGGGGACTCAGCAGCAAGCTTGATGAGGGCTTGGAGCAAGTCTTTCCTGGGGCTCAGTCTCATCTTCTGTTTGTAAGCCCAGGACCAGGCCTGTGTGTGTGTGTGCCCTGTGGTCTGGCAGTCCCATGGTGTAGTCCGAGGCATCAGGGACTTGGAGACTTAGACCCCATCTGAGCCTCTGGGGGTGGGCTGGGCTCAGGGCCAGTGACAGGTTGTCCTTCTGAGGGGCCTGTGTGCCACGGGGCCACCCTGCATTTAGATGAGAGCGAAGTCAAGTAACAGGCCTGTCTTCTCTGGGAAAATGGTTGGCAAATGCCTGGGCCCACGTCCCTTGATGGGGAGCTGTGGGCCTTCCTCATCCCATCAGCAGGTTCCACAGGTACCAGGGACAGGCAAATGTAGGGGGGCCCTGGCCCTGGCCCAGTCTTCAGCTTTCAGAGCTTCCCCCACCCACCCAAGCTCATGATACTTACCAGGGTGCTGGCAGGAGGGAATCTGCATCCTCCATCTAAGGACACCAGGCTCAGGATGAGGAAGCAACTGGTGAAAGATCACACAGATATCCTGCCCACGCCCCTTGCCACCCCTAGGACCTGTCTGTCCATCTGAAGGTCTGGGAAAGGGAAGGGCAACAAGGCTTCCTTCCAGTCCTGGAAACACTGGGGATGTGGCACTGGTGAGGATGTGGTCACCTTGGCCCAGCTCATTGCTCAGAGGTGGCAGAACCAGTCCCAGTAGCTGTTTGGTTAACAAAATCTGTTTAATGGTTTTTATTAGCTTTGGTTCTGCCAGCAGTTTTGGAATAGAGATTTTTACCATGGACACTTTTCCATAGATTCCCTGTCCCACCTGTTCCTACTCCTGTGAGTGCAAAACACTATGTTGTTGCTGTTTGCCATCAAGTCAGACCCGACTCATAGTGACCTCTTCTTGGGTTTCCAAGGCAGTATCACTACAGAAGTAGATTGCCCCATCTTCTTTCCGAGGAGTGGCTGGTGGGTTTGAACCACCAGCCTTCCCTTTAGCAGTCAACTGCCTTAGGCACTATGCTACCAGGGCTCCTGTAAAACATTATAGTCTCCTGTTTTGCTTTAAACAGCATCACCTGGCCCCACCCAGGCCTCAGGTGGCCCTTTTCTCATGGCCCTGGTGGCTGATGGGATACCTGATACTCCTCCCTTTGTACTCCAGCCCTCTGAACTCTGCACCCTGACCCTGCTTGTGCCTGCTCTTGGGCAGTTTACAAACTGGAAGAAATGAAAACCTTTCTCCTCTTGCATGAGAGAGGTCCTGGGCTGCTGGGAGAGGCCAAGCCTAGCACAGGGAAGGAAAGGAGCTGGTTTTATTTGGTCTCACACAATTCTTTAGCCCACCCACCACCCAGGAGCTTTCAGGTCGATCATAGAGAAGAGGGTCATCCGTATCTCTTGCCTTCTTCCGAAGCCCAAAGAGAACACTGAGGGCTTTTCTCAAGTCCTTTCCATTTAGTCTTTTAAATCAGCACTTTTTTTTTTTTTTTTTTTCTGAACACTCAAGCAGCAGAGAAGCCAGAGACTGCCAAGAGAGCAACTTAGGCCTCACCACTCTAGCACCTGTCAGGTATTCCTACACCTCCTCCCTAGCTCTCTTCCATCTTCCCTCAGGAGTTAGGGAAGCGCTTCTGGATGGCTGACTTAGTCTGTGAGGACTAGCAGGTGACCATGCTGGTATTGAATTCCTGCACAAGCCCTTTGCTGCCACAGCTGGGAAGTGGGGATTGGGGGTGGGAGTGGGGGGGTGGGAGAAAGAGTTGGAGAGGTGAATTGGGGTGAAGCTGCAGAGGCCTTCAATTTGCAGCCTACCCTGAGAGTCTGGGGCTGGCTATTGAAGTGGTTGGACAGGGGAAGTGGCAGGACCTAATTTGCTCTGTGAGATCCCTTCTGGCACATGGGAGGAAGCCCAGGCACCTCCAGGTAGTAACAGGGGGTCTGGTCTGGAATTGATGGAGGTGCTGGGAGAGAGGTTACCTCATGTTTTGAGCCAGAACCTCAAGTGAGAGACTGATACTATTCACAGTAGCAGAGAGGACAGGGAACTGTTTTGGCTGTGTATGATGGCTTGAGAAGCCCCAGGGGCACAGTGGTTAGGAGAAAGCCAGTGGGCTGGCTGAATCGAGCAGCCTTTGACTCAGTATTCTTGCTGCTGGTGACAGAGATTTACTAGTGATTAACAAACCAGGCCCTTAGGCAAAATAAGTTACATTTCAAAAGCCCTACAAGATTGACTATTGCAAAATGCTGATAAACTTCCTGAGTTGTCCTTCAAGTACCTCCCAGGTGCAGAGCATGTGCAGTAAAATTCAACTTGACAGACAAAGTGACATTCTACCAGAGGCAATCAAGAATAGGAATCCCTTGCCAGGACTCGAACCAGAATCCGGAGACTTCACATGTGCACCCAGCAGCCTTTGCAACAGGTTCCATCTGTGTTCTGACAGCATTTGTGATAGAATTTATCTTAGCTACTTCCTGTGTGCTGCTTGACTCCTTCCTGATTTTCATAACTCCACCTTTTTCTTGGAAATCACCTTCCATTTTATGAATAAAGATAATGTCTCCCCCCCCCCCTGCCTAAAACCCTTTATAAACTCTAGGAAATCCTTTGATCTGTGAGAGACTGAAAGCTAGCATATGCAAAGCTCCTCTCCATCTCTCCTTCATGAACCCCACCCCTCTCCTTTCTCTTTAATAAACGGTTCGTGTGGACATTTTGCCTCTCCTGATCAATTCTCTGTCAGTAGAAGGCAAGGACTCTGTTCAGGGTACCAGGGACCTGGAAACAAAGTGCTGGGCTGCTAACCAAAGAGTGGTGGTTCAAACCCACCAGTTGCTTTGTGGGAAAACGATCTGGCAGTCTGCTGCTGTAAAGATTTACAGCTTTGGAAGCACTATGATACTGTTCTACTCTGTTCTATAGGGTTGCTATGAGTCCAAGCAACTCGAAGGCAGTGAGTTTGGTTTTGTTTTATAATGTCTTGGGATTCTGTGGTAGGAGAAAGGGAATGCCTGTGTTTCCGTGGACTCTGGGTGAGCTGAATGTGACTGGAGGAAGCCTGCTCAGCCGCAGCCAGCACCACCCCCAGCACTTAGGTCTACTACGGCTGCAGCCTATTTTTTCTTTATTGCTGCTTCGGGAGCTCTAGTAGCATAGTGGCTAAGGCACTTCACTGCTAACCAGAAGGCTGGCAGTTCAAACCCAACCAGCCACTCCTTGGAAGGAAGATGGGGCAATCTACTTCCGTAGTGATACTGCCTCGGAAACCCAAGGAGGGGTCACTATGAGTCGGGTCCAACTCAACGGCACATAATAACAACAACAACAACAAACTTTGCAGCAAGCACTTGTCCTAGGGGAAAATTACCACAAAGTTATAGTAGTGTAGGAAAGA